ACTTTGATAACGAAAGAGATGTCTTCAGAGTTTAAGTAGATCTTGCATTGCTTCAGCTTGCTTTTTTAAAAGTAGGTTAGGAGTAATTTAATTAGTTTATGACTTCAGTTCATCTAGTTTATTTTTTAAATTCTTCTGGATCATTTGTTTCCTCACTTATGACCTATTGATTATATGCTTTGCTAACTATTATGAAGCACACAGGTACAATTATGTTAATAAACCGAAGAAAACAACATTCAATATTATAGTCTTCTTCACCAAATGAAATGGTATTATCAAAATCATCAGATAGTGGGTTGTAAAGGAAGTACTTTTTGACACAGCACACAATTAAACTATGAAACTCATTGCCACAGAATGCTGTGAATGCCAGCCATTTAAATGGGCTTAAACAATAAGATGAATTCATGCTAGAAAAGCTCATTAAGGGCTATTAAGTACACAGATGCGGATGCAACTGGGAAGTCCTTAAGCCATGTATTGTTGGAGACTGGAAGGATGTAGGGAAGAAAAGTGCAAATCCATCCAATTTACAGCAATACTGTTCCCCTGTCCTGTGCATTACTGGTGGCTGAAGGCAGGCTACTGAGCTAAATGGACTTTTTAGTCTGATTCTATATGGTAGTTCATGTTCTTATTTATAATTCACTTGCTTCCAACTTAAGCAACGCAGGGGTACAATCCATTCTGTTTCCCTTTTCTGTAAATATAATCAGAGGTACGTGCCGTTTTCTTCTGGGCAGAAGCTTTTGTACCTGTTCTAATACTGTTCCTGCATGCAGGGCTTTCTTTCCCTCCCCTTTCTTTTTACAAGTAGAACTGCCTGCCTTGTTATCAAGAGGCTAAGGCCTAAGTGGTGCTACATTGGTCTCTTTCTGCTACATATTAGAACTGTTGGTCCCTTCATGTTTTTTCGAGAAGCATCCAGTCACTTCTCTCCCGTGGAACTGTGCCTATTAATTCTTTGGCACTGTCAAGTGATTGATGATGAATCAGTTGAATCTGGTGTTCTCCTGGTATTTTGCTAATTGAAATTTGGTTGTCTAGCAGTTTTCAGAAGAATTTTTTTTTTTTTTAACCACTGCAGATGTCTTGAGATTTCCCCTGCTGTTCTGCTTCAGTCAAAGCTGTGCTGGCCTTAGGATTCTAGGCCTGGATGTGATGTTAAGAATTTCTTCAGATGTGTGTGAAAAATTGTGGGCCTTTGATATTAAGTCACTGTTTTGGACAGGTAGAAAGGGATTTTTTTCTATGAAACAGATTCTGTTCTCTTCTTTTATCTTTTTTCTTGTTTCTTTTTTTCCTCTTTTATACCAAACACCATCTTAACAGACTCTTTGCTGTTTGATGTAAGCAGGAAATGTTTGGCTGCACAGGGATCTAAAATATTAATGCCAGCTGAGCACACTCAGCTATTTCAGCTGTTTGCATCCCAATTTTCTTCTGTCTGAGCAGTCTTTTTAATCCTCATCTAAGGCACGATCTTCAAGTTTCAAATTTAGGCTGTCTTTTGACAGTAGGTTTAAAGTTGGTAGTGTTAGGTGTATGTGAGATTTAGTTTTGGGAGGCATGTTTGTGTATTAAGAGTAGGGAGTTGGTGGAAAATATGAGGGGAATAACTCAAGTAGTTGAAAAGACTGTGCTTTGACTGTTAAAAACACAGATCGCTCAAGGAGACAGGAGGCCTGGAAAACCAGCCCAGAAAGAATATGAACTGTTCCAGTACTTGGAATATGTGGCAAATAACTAAGGTTACCAAGTCTATTTCTAATTAGTTTAAAACTGGCATCAGTTAACCACAACAAAATTCCTCCAAACTTTCTGAAAGCTGTACTATAATGTAAGTCATGCAAGTGGACATTTTATAATACACCACTGTTCTTGGACCAGTGGTAAAGCAAGTCAGTGCTTGCTTTACATCTCTGAGCTCCTTTGGTTTGACCAGCTTAAGTAGGTTTATCTTCACTGTGCTTGTGTGTCTAAAATGGGATTATTTCTTTGTCTCACAAACTGAAACGTGCCTTGCTTGAGGGAGTTTCTAGCCAGGCTGGATGCCTTGCATCTCAGTATGGTGACCTGCCATAATGCTGCCTAATCTCTAGAGCTGCTGTCTTTTTTTTTTTTTTGTCCTTTTTTTTTCCTGAGGAAATGTGACATTGGTCATCTTGAAAGAAAACTGCATGAGGAAAGAGATCAAAGTGCTAACTGAGATGAGGTTGGCCTTTCAAATCTAGGTATGCCATTTACTACAAATGTATTTGCAAAGGGATGGTTAAGTCATTTCAGATCCTTCACTGATCATTTCAGCAAGATCCATGAGGGATGGTAAGTCAGGCAGAGCTCTGCTGAGCAATCCTCCTGCAAATCTTACCTGGCAGGGAAAAGCGCTCAGTCTTGCAGCACAGAAATGGATGGAAGGAAGGGCTTCTCAAAGTCTTTGCTTCAATTCACATGCTCTTTTGCTCAGCTCTTGATCAAATGAGTTAAGATCACGTGGGAGCGGTTGTTCTTTTAAATGAACAAAGTGTGGTGCAATCACTTCTGTACTGCACTTCTGTCTGGATCTGCTGCTACTATGAACTTCTTAAACACAACCCCCCTTTTTTTCTTTGCCTGCGGAAGTCTGGCTCTTCCAATGAGCTCACCCGCAACAAAAGCTTCTTGGAGTCCTGTTCAGCTCCAGCTAGGGCCTACCTAACAACAGCTCCTTTCCTGTCATTCTCTTGCCTACCAGACATAGCAGCTGTATGAGTATTTGGGTGGGGAAGGAAGGAGATTGCAACATCCATTAAGAAAGAGGAAAAAAAAAAAAAAAAGGCGGCTTGTCTGTCTCTCACTTTTCAAGTGCAGCTGTAAAACTTTCCTTGGCCTTTGAAAACTGAGCTCTGCCATGTGGTGGGTGCGAGCTGTGGAATACATCAGCCTTTGAAGTCAGTCCTTTAAATAGGCAATTGCAAATGGCATCCAAATGTAAGCTTTTACAGCAGTTTTGCTACAAGCTGGAATAAGTTACTTATTCTGACAGTACACTGTGGATGCTAAGACAAAGTTATAAGTATCCATGCCTTTGTATGTGTCTCCCAGCCATCGAACCATGTTAACCCTGATGACAATAAATCTGAATCTCTAGAAATGTAGTTGTAGCATGACCCTCTTGTTGAAATCAACTTTGTATTTTCCTGCAGGTCTTCAGTGTTAACAAAAAAAACTGTGCCACCTGCGGCTGAAGAATGCTGTGTTCACATGATTGCAGCCACAGATAAGCAAGCCTGTCCTGAAGTGTTTGAGCTAAGAGTGGCTGAAAGGCAGTGTGACTGTCTTCTGTATTTCATTCATTTATTTACAGGGAAACATTCTACAGGCCACACCAGAGAAGGCAACTAAGAGCCTTAAAGCATTTATTTTGTCATCTGGAGTGTTCTGAGTGCTTAGAGACCAACTGCCACTTGGTACAATGCAGCACTTCATAGTTCTTAATCTATAGGCATTATTTTTCTACAGAGGTACATTGTTCTTATTTTTAATGCTGGGGATGGGGATAAAAGGTTTGTTTGCACAAGGAGCTGAGTTAACAGGTAGAGCTGCACACAGTTTTTTCTATTCTAATCTAATGTAAGATGATCTGAACAGGCATGGTGAGTTTGAAGCAAGTTGTGCTGCCCTAGCAAGAATGTGTCTACCTCTTGGATATTTGCACTGCATACCTATATGTATTTACCTACATTTCCTCACCATTGGGAAGTAGCCTTGTTACCTTACCTGCATGCACAATCAGATGTTCTTGGAGAAGTGAAAAATAGAGATGAGAAAGGAAACTATCTTGTATTGCTTTCCTGGTGCCTTCTTGTTAAGTTACTGACAGCAAAGTTTCTAGTATATGCCTGGTGGGAGAGAAATTCAATCCAGAAAAGGGAAAACCTCACTTATTTTTCAACAATACTTAGTTACATTCCAGAACTTACACAGCTCTCTTGGGAAATATCTTTCCTGTATCCATTGTCTTAATGTAGTGCCTTTCCTAATCGTTCTTTGTCATCTCCAAGCTTCTGGAAAAGTGAGTGTTTCCCAGGGTGTAGGTGGAGGGAAAAGAGTTTGCGCGTTGCTGCCTAGCTTCGCATAGCAATATTGTGTTAAGTTAATCAAGAGCAGTGACTCAGAGAAAATGAAGACTGGATAATCCAAGTGATTATTTATCACTTCTGTGGTCTACAGGATTGTCTCCTGCTGGAGAAAATAGTCCAAGGCGGTTTACTGCTAGGGAACACATCTTTATACTTATTCTAAATTTTTCCTTTCTGTAACTCAAAGGTAAAATCATTAGAAACCCTCTCCCTCCTTATTATTTCTTTGTGATCTACCACGTGACTCTGGATAACTCAGAGATTGCAGTGGTAGAGCCAGATTTCATCTCCAGCTCTGCCTCTAGAAGCCAAGTCCCACTTTGGCCTATAGCAAAAAGGGACTCGACCCATTCAGGACTGGCCTGAATGCACCCGTTCCCTCCCATGCTGCTCCCCAAGCCTTGTCCCTGAACCTGACACAGCAACTGTAACAGCTTACTCCAGTTTGGAGCCTAAAGAAGCTATCTTAACCTTTGTAAAGGGACAGGCGTGGGGGGCTTTTTTGCCTTTTTTTTGGTCTGATTTTACGATCTTTCAGCAATTTGTTCTGTCCAACTCAAATGGACACTTGTCTGCTGAACTAAAGTTAGGTACTTTTAAAGGGTGAAATACCAGTTGCTGTTAGTCAGTCAAAACTAATGCCCTGTAAACTCCTGGCTCTTGCCCCCACCCCAACCTTTGCATTGTAGTGGCTGAATTCCTCTTTGGGAAGGGATGAAACAGCAAGCAGGAGATGCTTCTGATGTGACTGCTGCCTGTTCCATCCTGCCCCTTTCTGCCTTCAAAAAGAGGGGTGCTGTGTTTGTGATCAGTGTACTTACCTGTACTCACCTGTAGGGTGTTGATCTTTCTGGCTTTTTTCTTTTTTCACCCTAGGATGATGAGAGTCTGAAATACTTAACTCACGAAGAGCAGGATGTCCTCATGTTCTTTGAGGAAACCATAGATGCCTTAGAAGATGACTTGGAGGAGCCGGTCCTACATGACAGTGGCATCCACTGTCAGTCTCCAAGGTCAACAGAAGAAAATGTATCCAGTCATTCAGAGACTGAAGATATCATCGACTTAGTACAGTCAACACCTGAGAGTAGTGACCATGAAGGCCCTCCTAGCAGAGATGCAGAACCAGGTAGTAGTATTTGTTGAAAGTGTGTTTTTTCCTTCTGACCTAGCCCTGACATATTCCAATTCTCATTAGATACAGCTAAAGAAATTCTGTACCTTCCTTACTACCTCAGGATGAATCTATTACACATCAGGAGCTCTAAGGACCACGATTTTAATTTGACTTGGGATTTTTGAAACTTACTGTTACTATAACTCTTTCTTTTTTCTTTTTTTTTCTCCACTCATGGAGGTCATGTGCATCATTAAGTTGTTGGACTGCTATCTACCTGGTGACTGAGTTGTAACAGAACTGAGTATTATGCAGAGTCATTGCAGCAAGGCAGACTAGTATTCATCAATGTGTTTACGCTCTGCATCTCTCTAAGACCTCTTAAGACTTTCTCTAAGAGTTTTAAGATAGCAGATTGTAGTGTTACTTTGTGTGGGACTGAAAGGCACGTGATCTTATCAATAAGTTTGTGACAAGATAGTGTATGGCATGTTGTTTTCTTCACCCTGTAGAATTTGCTCTCTCTGTTTTTGGAGAATGGATTTATCAGCTAATACATACAATGGGATGTAATGTGTCCTCTCCTGGCTGTTACAATAAAAAACAAGAATTGCAAAACTCTTATAGAAAAAGCAGCCATTGAAACACAGTAAAGCTAACATGCAGATTGTGAATGAATGGCAGAAAGAGGACTTCTAGTGAATGCATTGTAAATATGGTGATTTGAACTATAGCATCACCTACAAGATGCCATTGCTAGGAGTTCAGTTATAGTTTCTTCTGACAATGTGGGCTGAGTTTGGGTTAGAAGGTTTGGGGGAGGGGAGCACTGATGCTTGCTAATCCTAGGTGAAAGAAAGCCTTGTGTTCTGCTCTATGTGAAGACTTAATGACGTTATTGCTGCTTTGTCTTTTAAGTGTTGGACGCTACCTGGAGAACTGAAAGCCCTAAGCCAGCTGTACCTGCTGACCTTCCCCCACATCCCCCTGTACCAGCAATGTCTGAGGCACTTCCTCTTCCTCCTCCACCCCCTCCTCCAGTGCAGCATCCAAAATTGTTTCGTTCTGTCCCCACTCCGCTCATCATGGCCCAGAAGATGTCTGAGCAGCAGCCAGAGAGCAGGGTGCGCTTCCCCAGTGCCCTCAAGGAAGGGAATTCAGACAGGAAGAAAACCCCGGTAGCCAACGGTGATTATTTTGTGGGTCCGAAGCACCCTCCCACACCTGCACCCAAACTGCACCGATTCCCAAGCAACATCAACATAACAAATGTCAGTGGCAAAGAATTCAATGAGACTATTTCAAAAGCAGCAGTTAATGTCCAGGAGCGGAGAGCTCAGGTGCTGGCCAACATCAATGGAGGAGCTTTTCTGGCAGCTGAACTGGAGGAGAAGCTGCAGAAAAGTGATTTCTTGTCACGTAACAGAAGTTCTTCCTTAAGGGATCTCTCCTCTGAGCAAACACGATACGAGGCCCTGACAAAACTTGGCCTTGTTAAGGGAAAACAAGCTCAGGACCAAGTGGACCATGCCCCAAGCACTCAGCAGCTTGATGTGCAGCCCAAACAGGCAGATGCTGTTCCCAATGGATATCAAAACATCCATGAGATTTTAAAAAGCGAGCCCAGCCCTTTCCTTCCTATGGGCAAAACGGTAACAATCAAACCAGAGGTAGCTCTTGCTGCTAACAAGGTCAGCAGCACACAGCAGAACACAGCAAAAAATTGTAATGATTATAAACAACCTAGTCTAAACCTGGATATGAGGAGGAGATCAGGCTCACTGCCTAGGCCTTCAGGATTTCGATCCCAAGGGATAACGGTGAAGTTTGCTGGCCGCGGCTCAACGGAAGAAGCTAGGAGGGAGGCACTTCGGAAACTGGGACTACTGAAAGAGACAGCATAATTTGGACAGGAATGTTGTGGCAACAGGGGGGAAAGTCATAGCATGGCTTTGTGCTAGAATAGTCCCAACTGGATTGGGATCAAAGAGATTGGAAGAAAAAAGGGGAAGTTCTCTGCTTCAGGCAAGCTAAGGAGGTACTAGACACTGTGGAATGACCGCTCGTGTTTATCCCAGAAGGACTGGCACCACCACATACAGTCACGTACAGCAGTGGGTTTCAGCTCTCCTTCCTTCAGAGATACTCATCTGTTGCTCTTAGTCAAAGAGGAATTTTATTTAAGTAATGCTGAACTATAGCAGACAGCATCTTGTTAATAAAATGTACAGTACAGTATAGTTGTACACAGCAAACTGGATGGCAAATCCTCCTTTTGCTCTTTCTGAAGCCAAAACAGAGAGTTCCGTTTGTCTCGCCCACATGTGTGTCTATGTTTGTGGGAGCTTGAGATAATGTCAAAACTGAAATTTCTGGCCAGCGTGACACACTTCACTGAATTTTTGTTGTCTATATTATCTGGCTTGGCTTTGTTCCCTACCATTGGTGGAGTCGTCTTCTTCCTTGCTCTGTGCCCACTTGACTCAAGACTGTACAGAGGGTAGTTTCAGTTTTGACCTTCTCCTTGACAGTGGCCCAAGCTTCGAGTGGGTGACTGCATCGCTCTGCTGCTTCACTTGAAGTCTTGCCTTTCTTCCCAGCCACCTGCTTCTTGGTCATGCTCTAGCAACCTACGTGTCCAGTGAAAGGCACCAGATAAGCCTCAAGGATATGCACCATGCACCAGTTTTCGCACTGACAGCCAAAGAGTCTCCTGACAATCTGTGACACCAACTGTTCTGTACCAGTGATGATCTTATAGCAGAGAAGCCATAGGAACAAGTTAACTTTGTACCAAATGCGAGAACCTTATGTCAAAAGTCTTAGCTTTTACATTAGGGTTCCTGTGAAGAAACTGTTACTTTTGAACAATAGCTGTACTACACTGAATAGTTGTAAGTTCTGTTACTTCTAAAAACTGTCACTTGATCTTCCTGTAGTTTGATAGCCCTAATAATGCTCTGTTCACAGCCTTATTTGATTCTGCCCTGCCAATGCATAACAGAAGTTACAGCCAAAATTCTTGCAGGCTAAGTGGAGTTACAGGCGAGAGCTGTATGTGAGAGCACGTTGCTCCTGAATGGTCCAAGTTGGCGTTATTTTGCCTTTGTTCAACAGACATGCTTTTAAAGATGGTCCCAAAATATATTTGTGTGTTGGTTTGATTTTTTTCTTTTATATGGCAAAGCTGCTCTTCCACATTAAAACTCCCTTCCCTTTTTGTACACCTGAAAACATAAATAGCCATTTTAAAATCAAATGCCAAACTCCAGACCCTCTAAATTTCTTGTTGTTATTCTGCATGTTTAAGAGTTCTCAGTGTTTTGTGTTTTTCTAAAGGGAAAAACTCACTTATTCTCTGCACTTTCTAAAGCCTCAAGCAACCCCCTTTTTCCCAAGTAGCTGACTAATAAACCTTGGAGAAGAGGGGAGCGGCTATAATGGAAACTGACACACCCTTCAGCAAGGAGCTCTGACATAACTGTGATAAACAAGTTTGTAGTTCTTGTGGTAAAGTATTTCAAACTTGCTGAGCTGTACTTGCAAATGAAGCTGTCGTGAAGAAAAAAATCTTTGCGTCATTCTCAACCTGCCTCATAAGTTAAAGTTTTTTGGGGTTTTTTTGGTTTTTTTTTTTTTTTTTTTTTTTTTCTTCTTTTCTTTTAAATTGTCTGCTTGCTGCTTAAATTTTTAATTGTGTTGTTATGGTATCTGGCTGGTTCTGTTATGTAGTTATTCTTTTCAACCTTTTCACTGGGTAAGTGATCATGTTCCTCATTGTGACAGGCTTACTATACATAAGCAATCGGTAATTAAAATATGTGGCCATTCTTCAGTCTAGCAAAGCACTTACGCATGCATAATCAAATGTGAGAAGTGCTGCTGAAACAAAAAAGGCTGCTTGTATGCTGCAAGTAAAGCACATACTTATTTTGCTGGGCTCTGAGTCTGTAGTGCTAAATCAGGAAGACAAGGAAGCACATAAAATACATCCACGCACCTGCTTTAGTGCAGTCTGGAATGGAGTCCTACATGTGGATGATGCATCCTAATTTATTAACATAACCTGCTAAGTAAATTTAAATGTTTCATGACCTTTGTGCTTTTAAATCCTGTTGAAGCAAATTCTTCATTATAAATGTGAAGTGCGTACAAAGCAATCTTCGCATCTAATCATTTCTTGCTCTTCTTGGAGTTGTTTACAGCTGAGAGTCCATGCTAAGCAAACGGGGGGGGGAACCAAACCCTGACACTAATTGTTTCATTGAAATTCAGTCCTATTCAATAACTCTCTAACATAACCCTATTTAAAAAAAAATAAATTAGATGTTTAATATCTGAAGTATAAAGTTGCAGCATGCTGAATTAGCTGGATCATGTTCTTTCATTCTTTGTGCAGGGCTGCATCCTCAACCAGTGGGAAGTTAAGGGTTAGATCTTCATTAGGTAAACCAATTTCTGCCCAGTGAGGACTTGGAACGAGGTATTCATTGTGGCCCTTCATTATAGCAAATATCCTACTGGTAAATTCTTCTCTGTGCCTAAAACTGTAGTAAGTAAAGCCATGTACTAAATGAAGTTAAAGAGTCTAGCTGCTAATAACCTGTATATAAATTTAGCTCTATTTTGTGTATCTTGTTTTGTGTGTATATGTTGCTGTGCCCCCCCCCCCCCCTCGTGTTAGAAGTAACTGTCTTGCACAAATCTGATAAATCATCTATTAAACTGGGATAAAATCAATGAAACGATGGCTGATGGGAGGTGGAATTTTGTTCTTTGTCTCTTAGTAGCATGCATCTTTCTTGGAGGAGGGAGTGTATGTGTGAGCCAGAGCTCAATCCTGTCATGACATGGGTGAAGAAGGAAGAATAAAAAAAACACAGGGGGAGGTTTATGTCTGTTTTCTGCCAAGAGATGTGTATTCTCACTGCTGGGCTTCACTGTGACGAGGGTCCTTGCAGGAATGAATTTCATCCTGAGCAGTGTTTGAAGTAGGCAAATGCCCTCCTCTGCCAATGTTTTGCAGTATTAAAATGACTTTTCCAAGAGGAATAGTGTATACATGAAAGAATAGTAACTCATCTTTGTGTTTCTGTACCTGCCTTCCGTGGGTGTTACTGTAAGTGAGTGTGATCCTGCTGAGGGTAGAAGTCCTCCTTGTTGCACAGGACAAAATTCCCCTTTAGAGAATATCCCTACCCATCCCTTCTGAGCATGTGCATGTGTGTTTGCTGCCTCCCTGTCTTCCGTTTGGATACTTGCACATCAAGACTGCTAAAATACTTCCTTGGTTGTAAGTGCTGACTCTGGCATGTGGTACTACATGCTGCTGCCAAGTAAAGTATAGAGGCGAAGGTTTCTTAATGAAATGCTACATAGCTGAGGTGGTGGCTAAATGATCTTGCACTGGGACTTGTCCTACTTCAAATAGGGAATGGTTTAGAGCCAAAATTAACCACCTTTGATTTAATGAAAAACAACAGCAATGACAAAACCCTCAGAAGAACAGATGTTCAGGAATGAGTGGCTGCTTTTTGATCAGCCTCCCCAGGGTAAGGGCCACCTTCAGTGGCTTCAGCCCCATGTTCTTTAAGCAGGCTGCCCTGAGTAGGAGGCTGGAAGATGGCTTTACAACTCCAGGTTGCATCTGGGAGCAGCTGGAACCCTTGAAATGATTGCACTGTTTTGAAGAGGGATGGTTTTTTGTTTTGTTTTTTTTTTTTTATTGTACCTTAAATACAGGTGGTGTAGAGCATTTGTCCAAGTATCAGGGGTTATGTGTCATAAAGGGTAGAATGGAAATCACTCTAGAAAAAAAAACTAACTCCCATTTGCACAAGCCACTTGTTTCTCCCCCAGGCAGGATGTTGGTGGTAGCCAAAAAGCATCAGCAGGTCTAGCAGCCTGTCCCCAAGCTTTCCAGGGCTGCCTCAGGGCTCAAGTATGTGTCTGAGCCAGGACAAGGCAAGTGGCCTCTCATAACTGTGCCCAGCTGCAGCCTGGAGCTGGTGTGAGACAATTTAACTTGGCTCAAGCTGTAGTGAAACTTAAACTATGTTACAGTGCCTCACCTTTGCTGTAGGGTAAAACCTTACACAGCTGCCCAGTTACTGTCAGCTTTTCAAGTGGCTGCAGCTTTGGGAATAAGCTTTTGATGTTTTGACTCCTTATGTGCTTGTTTTATACATATATATATATACACACACACAAAATTGGCTTCTCCTTTAAAAATAAACAGCCTCAGAAAGCGTTATCTGTAACTGATCGGGGAAGGCATGAGGCTAAACGTAGGTCATAGTTTTAGCTCAGCAACTTGGGCTGGTTTTCTGTGTGCCTCTAGCAGTAAACAAAACTGTAATTTTCAGGGCTCCTGAATGAACTCAGACTGTTTTGTAACTGAATGCACAAAGGTAAAAATTACGGAACACATTCTTTAGCTGCCTGGTTGGTCATCGTTATTGCTGGCAGAGCGGGAGCCCAGGGTAGTGCAGCTCGGAAGCAGTGGTGAGCGCAGTGATGTGGGGGATTGCTCAGGCTGTGCTGGAGGCAGATAGAAAGCCAAGCCCTGATGGTTCAGTTTTCAGGTGTATCCCATACCCCTACAGCACCTACAACTCCAACCAACTTGTTCTTGATGACTTGGATCCTACGCAAGTTGTTTGATGTCTTTAATAGTTCAGTACTGAAAGATAGGGGGTAAATGTGGAGTGAGTGGAAAAATCTGAAAGTCTGTTTACCTTACTTAAACTCATTTACCTCTAAATGGTATCCTCTAACCTTTCTTTTGCTCTAAGAATCTGACAGCAGGTTGGCTTGGCTTCATCTACCAGTCTACTTTTCGTATTTTGGGATGTTATAAACTTTAGATCTGTGCTGGAATAGCACTGGCTGCAGCTATGTTGGCAACAGTCACGCCAAGGATGGTTTGAGAGGTATCTGAGGGCCTGTGAAGGCAGCGGTGTGACTGCTCAGTCCAGAGGGAGAGGAGTGTGGTCCCTGCCTGCAGTGAGGCAGTTCTGCCATCCCCTTAGGCCTTCATTTAGCATTGCTTGGCCACTAGCTGGAGACTAGCATACCAGCATAAGCTCATGTACTGGCACTAGTAATTGAGTTTAGCAAGGTGATTTTAAAGTAGATGTGGATGCTCCCTTAGATGTGGGTCTTAGACAAGAGGAAGACTTTAAATCATTGCTTCTTGCATGCAACCCTCTACCTGCGCAGGGTCTTGCTTTCAGATAATCCCTGCAACTCATAGAAACAAAGGCAGGGGAATCTTCATGACAGTGTTCACTCCCAAGCTATAAATATCTTTCCCCTGAGGTAAGGAGGGTCCTTAGACTAGATGGAGCCAAATCTTTCCAAGGGAACACACCCTTCTCTTGTGTGTTTTGTTTTTGTTTGGTCTTTTTCCCCCTCGGAACAGGGCTTTCTCTTCCCATGCAAGGTGATCCCTCCCAAATTAGGAAATGCCTTCCTTGAAAAATTGTCAGTGTATCCCTGACTACACCAACTGGTCCAATGCGTTCTTACCTCAGGGGATTAGTGAGGAAACATTATTTTTGTTAAAAGGGCTAGCCATTACTTCTTGGCCTTTGGAGTTTCCACAGGGTCGTAATTACCTCCTGCTACTTTCAACAGGCAAGATAAAGAAAACCAGAAGAGGCTTCAGTAACTTTAGGATTAAACTGAACAGGCACAAGGAACAGTAGGGAAACCAGCTGGCAGGCGTGAAGGAGGAACTCTGCTTCAATTTGTCTTTTCTTTATGAGTCTTCGCACCTGCTCCTGAGCTTTAATGAAGGTTTCACAGAACCCCAGGAATTGCAAACTAATTCTGAGAGGTTTGCCAAAGCTGCTGAGGCACTGTTATCCTAGGACCATTATTTTATTCTCAGATGGGTGTCTTTGTGTCACAAGGAAATGCAGTTGTAACAGTATCCTCACCTGAGGGACAAACAAAGCCCAAGTTTTTGGGGTCTTTTTTCCCCATTATTTAAAAAAAAAAAAATAGTTCCCTTTCCAAAGAAAATAACTTGATAAAAACTAGGGTGTTTGTTGAAGGTTTGAATTGAAAAGAAAACAAACCAAATCCTTTGCTTATCCATCAACTTTAGGTGCAGCTCCACTTTCCAAAGCCTGTTAGCTGGAACATCCCCATGGCCACGTGCTCTAGCCAGCCAAGGACTCTGACAAACTGCTGCCTCAGGTCTATCACAAATATTTGCTTTAGTCCCTTTGCTTGCAATCACTGCACCCAGTACTATGTCCCCACAGATCCCACATCCAAGCTCTCCCAGTAAGCCCACATCCACCTCCCAGTGTCTCTGTGCTCCCAGTGAGAGCCCAACACAGACCCCAGGGCAGGTCCCATCTTCTTGAGCTGTGGCTCGTTCAGCCCAGGAGCAACTCAGAAGCCTTAGGGAGCTCAGTGCAGCTGCGTGGCAGGGTGTAAGCATCCTT